CATTCATAGTCTAGCCCCAAATAACAAGGAACTCTGTAGTTCACGTGCTGTTTCTGTTTAGCCACCTCTCCACGTGACACAAAAGCGGCTGGGGGAGCGAGAACTGAGCAACATGGTGATGGATTGTTGTTAGCAGCTGCCGGCAAGTTGCCCTCAAGCACAACAGAAGGAAACGCTGCCCAGCCCTGAGCCAAGCCCACAATCAGCTGCAGACGGGACCATGGTGAGCCACAAGGTTTTCACTGACTGATTTTCAGGAGATCACAGGCTTTTCTTCCTAGTCCATCTCAGTCCAGACGTTCAGCAGCCTAGCAACACGCAAGCCTCTACTGACAGCCGGGCGGAGGCTGTGTATTGACTGGGAATCAAACATGGGTCTCATTTTGGAACCACTGAACCACCAATCCCTCTACCATGGCAACAGCCAAAAACCCACGGGGCGTCCAGGAGTCAGTAACCAAAAGCAACAACATACACAAAAGCGTCACCTGCAGATCTTGTTCAAGTGTAGATTCTGATTCATACCTAGGTTGGAAATGCAAATTCTCAGCAGGGGGTAGAGATGGAAATGAATGGGTTTGAAGCCCTGGTTTTACCATAATGAAAAATAAGCCACAGTTTAATCATAATTGCACCAGCTTCTGACTGTGAGACAGGGACCCTAGAAGCCTAGGCCACAAACACCTAAGTCCTCACCCCAACTCATAGTGACCCTAAAGGAGAGATGAGAACTGCCCCTTAGGGTTCCAAGGCTGTAAATCCCTATGGAAGCATATTGCCTCATCCTTCTCCCGTGGAGTGGCTGGTGGGGGGTTCGAACTGCCAACCTTTTGGTTAGCAGCCAATGCTTTAACCACTGTACCACCAGAGCTCCTTTACTGATACATAGTAATAGACCTCACAGAATCAGCTCACGTGACTGGGGCTGCACATCTAAGACCACAGAACCAGGGAAAAGTGTCTGCAAGCAGGAGGCCATTTCTAGTTAATGGTCATCCAAGCACCTGTAAAAAGGAACAGCAATCAGAGGTAAAGGGAAGCCAATTAACATCCTAATGACACTGATGAAAGCAGGGCTTTGAACCAGTTGTGCCTGGTTCAGCCATGGCCTATGAAGGGAAACTGGAACATACCCGAATTTGTTAAATGCAGGTGTACCGGAATGGGAAAAATTATGACTTTGCTAGAAATGTAATCTCCTCAGAAAACAAGGGCTGCATGCACATTACATAACAACCAAATCTCTCAACCAACAGAGCTGGAAGTATCGCTGCCCTGCTCAAAGATGGTGGCCAAATGGGCTTATTTAAATGTGTCACTTTGCAGTCCTGGCAATAGTCCAATCTCTGGCATCAGGCTCCTGACAGAGCTTCTGCCTGGTTAAGGGCCCAGTACACCCATGCTTTACAAAGTTGGGTCTGTTCCAATTTTGCTGAGTTGGCCATGACTGAACTGGTTCAAAGCCCTGGATAAAAGCTTTTTCTTTCCTGGTTAATAGGCATTAGCTCTGCCTAAGTGACTCCAGGATTTTATGTAGCAGTTCCTTGTTAACCCTGACATGCCAGCTGCCAGGCCAGACTGCCTCTGTGTGGGTTTCCAGACAAACTTTGGAGGCAATGACCTGGGGCTGCACTCTCTAGGGTTAGACACAAGCACTACATTTGCACAGTCCCACCCACTCATTTGGTGGCAGTTACAAAGACTGTGACCAGAAGGGCCATATTAAGTAACTGACGGCACTGCACCTAGGGCAGACACATGTGCCTCCTGTGAGCCAGGCCAGATGCTCACAGGCAGTATAGTTACACTGCCCCCATGTGGTTGGGCCCTGTAACTGCTCAGTCCTAAGAGGAGGCCGCAGGGGCTGTGATTCAGCCCAGGCGTGAGGAGGATCCCTAAGGTCTGAAGCTCAGGAAGGGCAGACTAGACGGCACAGCCTCTGAGAAGGGGGG